CTTTAAACAGTGTTAGCTACAGAGATGTTGCTTTAAACAGTGTTAGCTACAGAGATGTTGCTTTAAACAGTGTTAGCTACAGAGGTGTTGCTTTAAACAGTGTTAGCTACAGAGGTGTTGCTTTAAACAGTGTTAGCTACAGAGATGTTGCTTTAAACAGTGTTAGCTACAGAGATGTTGCTTTAAACAGTGTTAGCTACAGAGATGTTGCTTTAAACAGTGTTAGCTACAGAGATGTTGCTTTAAACAGTGTTAGCTACAGAGGTGTTGCTTTAAACAGTGTTAGCTACAGAGATGTTGCTTTAAACAGTGTTAGCTACAGAGGTGTTGCTTTAAACAGTGTTAGCTACAGAGATGTTGCTTTAAACAGTGTTAGCTACAGAGGTGTTGCTTTAAACAGTGTTAGCTACAGAGATGTTGCTTTAAACAGTGTTAGCTACAGAGGTGTTGCTTTAAACAGTGTTAGCTACAGAGGTGTTGCTTTAAACAGTGTTAGCTACAGAGATGTTGCTTTAAACAGTGTTAGCTACAGAGATGTTGCTTTAAACAGTGTTAGCTACAGAGGTGTTGCTTTAAACAGTGTTAGCTACAGAGATGTTGCTTTAAACAGTGTTAGCTACAGAGGTGTTGCTTTAAACAGTGTTAGCTACAGAGATGTTGCTTTAAACAGTGTTAGCTACAGAGGTGTTGCTTTAAACAGTGTTAGCTACAGAGGTGTTGCTTTAAACAGTGTTAGCTACAGAGATGTTGCTTTAAACAGTGTTAGCTACAGAGGTGTTGCTTTAAACAGTGTTAGCTACAGAGGTGTTGCTTTAAACAGTGTTAGCTACAGAGATGTTGCTTTAAACAGTGTTAGCTACAGAGGTGTTGCTTTAAACAGTGTTAGCTACAGAGGTGTTGCTTTAAACAGTGTTAGCTACAGAGATGTTGCTTTAAACAGTGTTAGCTACAGAGATGTTGCTTTAAACAGTGTTAGCTACAGAGGTGTTGCTTTAAACAGTGTTAGCTACAGAGATGTTGCTTTAAACAGTGTTAGCTACAGAGATGTTGCTTTAAACAGTGTTAGCTACAGAGGTGTTGCTTTAAACAGTGTTAGCTACAGAGATGTTGCTTTAAACAGTGTTAGCTACAGAGATGTTGCTTTAAACAGTGTTAGCTACAGAGATGTTGCTTTAAACAGTGTTAGCTACAGAGATGTTGCTTTAAACAGTGTTAGCTACAGAGATGTTGCTTTAAACAGTGTTAGCTACAGAGGTGTTGCTTTAAACAGTGTTAGCTACAGAGGTGTTGCTTTAAACAGTGTTAGCTACAGAGATGTTGCTTTAAACAGTGTTAGCTACAGAGATGTTGCTTTAAACAGTGTTAGCTACAGAGGTGTTGCTTTAAACAGTGTTAGCTACAGAGGTGTTGCTTTAAACAGTGTTAGCTACAGAGGTGTTGCTTTAAACAGTGTTAGCTACAGAGGTGTTGCTTTAAACAGTGTTAGCTACAGAGGTGTTGCTTTAAACAGTGTTAGCTACAGAGGTGTTGCTTTAAACAGTGTTAGCTACAGAGATGTTGCTTTAAACAGTGTTAGCTACAGAGGTGTTGCTTTAAACAGTGTTAGCTACAGAGATGTTGCTTTAAACAGTGTTAGCTACAGAGATGTTGCTTTAAACAGTGTTAGCTACAGAGGTGTTGCTTTAAACAGTGTTAGCTACAGAGGTGTTGCTTTAAACAGTGTTAGCTACAGAGATGTTGCTTTAAACAGTGTTAGCTACAGAGATGTTGCTTTAAACAGTGTTAGCTACAGAGATGTTGCTTTAAACAGTGTTAGCTACAGAGGTGTTGCTTTAAACAGTGTTAGCTACAGAGGTGTTGCTTTAAACAGTGTTAGCTACAGAGGTGTTGCTTTAAACAGTGTTAGCTACAGAGATGTTGCTTTAAACAGTGTTAGCTACAGAGATGTTGCTTTAAACAGTGTTAGCTACAGAGATGTTGCTTTAAACAGTGTTAGCTACAGAGATGTTGCTTTAAACAGTGTTAGCTACAGAGGTGTTGCTTTAAACAGTGTTAGCTACAGAGGTGTTGCTTTAAACAGTGTTAGCTACAGAGGTGTTGCTTTAAACAGTGTTAGCTACAGAGATGTTGCTTTAAACAGTGTTAGCTACAGAGATGTTGCTTTAAACAGTGTTAGCTACAGAGATGTTGCTTTAAACAGTGTTAGCTACAGAGATGTTGCTTTAAACAGTGTTAGCTACAGAGATGTTGCTTTAAACAGTGTTAGCTACAGAGGTGTTGCTTTAAACAGTGTTAGCTACAGAGGTGTTGCTTTAAACAGTGTTAGCTACAGAGATGTTGCTTTAAACAGTGTTAGCTACAGAGATGTTGCTTTAAACAGTGTTAGCTACAGAGATGTTGCTTTAAACAGTGTTAGCTACAGAGGTGTTGCTTTAAACAGTGTTAGCTACAGAGGTGTTGCTTTAAACAGTGTTAGCTACAGAGATGTTGCTTTAAACAGTGTTAGCTACAGAGATGTTGCTTTAAACAGTGTTAGCTACAGAGGTGTTGCTTTAAACAGTGTTAGCTACAGAGATGTTGCTTTAAACAGTGTTAGCTACAGAGGTGTTGCTTTAAACAGTGTTAGCTACAGAGATGTTGCTTTAAACAGTGTTAGCTACAGAGATGTTGCTTTAAACAGTGTTAGCTACAGAGATGTTGCTTTAAACAGTGTTAGCTACAGAGATGTTGCTTTAAACAGTGTTAGCTACAGAGGTGTTGCTTTAAACAGTGTTAGCTACAGAGGTGTTGCTTTAAACAGTGTTAGCTACAGAGATGTTGCTTTAAACAGTGTTAGCTACAGAGATGTTGCTTTAAACAGTGTTAGCTACAGAGATGTTGCTTTAAACAGTGTTAGCTACAGAGATGTTGCTTTAAACAGTGTTAGCTACAGAGATGTTGCTTTAAACAGTGTTAGCTACAGAGGTGTTGCTTTAAACAGTGTTAGCTACAGAGGTGTTGCTTTAAACAGTGTTAGCTACAGAGGTGTTGCTTTAAACAGTGTTAGCTACAGAGATGTTGCTTTAAACAGTGTTAGCTACAGAGATGTTGCTTTAAACAGTGTAAGCTACAGAGATGTTGCTTTAAACAGTGTTAGCTACAGAGATGTTGCTTTAAACAGTGTTAGCTACAGAGGTGTTGCTTTAAACAGTGTTAGCTACAGAGGTGTTGCTTTAAACAGTGTTAGCTACAGAGGTGTTGCTTTAAACAGTGTTAGCTACAGAGGTGTTGCTTTAAACAGTGTTAGCTACAGAGATGTTGCTTTAAACAGTGTTAGCTACAGAGATGTTGCTTTAAACAGTGTTAGCTACAGAGATGTTGCTTTAAACAGTGTTAGCTACAGAGATGTTGCTTTAAACAGTGTTAGCTACAGAGGTGTTGCTTTAAACAGTGTTAGCTACAGAGATGTTGCTTTAAACAGTGTTAGCTACAGAGATGTTGCTTTAAACAGTGTTAGCTACAGAGATGTTGCTTTAAACAGTGTTAGCTACAGAGATGTTGCTTTAAACAGTGTTAGCTACAGAGGTGTTGCTTTAAACAGTGTTAGCTACAGAGGTGTTGCTTTAAACAGTGTTAGCTACAGAGGTGTTGCTTTAAACAGTGTTAGCTACAGAGATGTTGCTTTAAACAGTGTTAGCTACAGAGATGTTGCTTTAAACAGTGTAAGCTACAGAGATGTTGCTTTAAACAGTGTTAGCTACAGAGATGTTGCTTTAAACGCTGTCAGCGCCCTCACACTTACAATGAGATAATAAGTTGATATTATTAACGCCATCCAGGTAAGACGTGAGATTCTTCACCGTATCCACCTCGTGACTATCAGATTATAAACACAGTTTGTACGACAGCCCACACACATCTGAGGGATATACGTTTATGCTCCGCAGCTCTCCACAGCTCTCCACAGCTACATAAACTTCTACTTTACTGCTTTTAATTCAGGATGATGATGGAGCATTATGGCGGGCCCTGAGTCTCCCCGAGGGACAGCCCTGACAAACATATTGGGATTTATTCCACACATTAACGATATCTCTCAGACAAGAGCGGCTCCGCAGAGAAAAGGAGGAGAAAGGAATGAATGGGGCTTTTGACGATGTTTGTGGAAACTTAAAGATTATCTCAATAGTTCAGATTTTAGTGGCAACAGAAGTGAGAAAATATGGTTTTTACTCAAACCACTGAGTGAGAGATAGTGTCGTGAGGGGCGAGTGACGGGAGAGAGGGGTCAGAGAGTGTTTTGGGCCTGTGTCTTTCATGTGTCGTGTTGAATGAGTGATGACTGGAGCCTGTGTGGGCGGAGCCTATGTGGGCGGAGCCTGTGTGGGCGGAGCCTGTGTGGGCACGTGCACTGATATGCTGCAATCTCACTCTGCCCAGTGGGGGTGTACCCGGAAACAGAATTACCCAATACTTCTTCTCTCTGGAAAACGACTTACAGGATGTTTTTGGACCAGTCTAGTTTAGCCGCTGTGGACTTTTGAATGCAGTCGTTAAATGAATGAGGCTGGTGCAGCTGACGCATGAGTAAATGTGTCTTTTCACATTTTTCCCGTGGCCATTTTGAAACTGCCCAAAGAAGGCGAAAGAGGTGGCACATCAGTTTGAACAGTCTATAGTTGGAGCAAAATAAACATATACTTGTTTTAAAACTGTGTATTTATGTTTATTTTGTATCCTGTTAGTTTTTGTTGAACATATGAAAGTATGGAATGATGTGAATAGTGAGAAACTAGCAAGAAATGTACTTTAAACGATCCACTTATTCTGCAAAAGTTGTGGACTCATAATCCATCCCTGAGCTTCAAAATCACAAAATCTGATTGAATGAACGCAGAGACTACAACCAGAAAGTTTAAAAATACTTTTGCATGTGACGAGCGGCGTGGTGTGGACCTGTAGCGTGTTCGAGAGGGTGACGGCTGGAGTGGACGGGTCAGAACCAAACCCGAGTGCTGTCATTAGAAACGAGAGTTGATAATTATGGTGGAGTGTGAGCCATCGAGCCTGAGAGCTGCTGTTATGGACGAGAGGGAGAACAGGGCCGAGAGGGAGAACAGGGCCGAGAGGGAGAACAGGGCCGAGAGGGAGAACAGGGCCGAGAGGGAGAACAGGGCCGAGAGGGAGAGAGGGAGAACAGGGCTGAGAGGGAGAGAGGGAGAACAGGGCTGAGAGGGAGAACAGGGCCGAGAGGGAGAGAGGGAGAACAGGGCAGAGAGGGAGAACAGGGCTGAGAGGGAGAGAGGGAGAACAGGGCCGAGAGGGAGAGAGGGAGAACAGGGCCGAGAGGGAGAGAGGGAGAACAGGGCCGAGAGGGAGAACAGGGCCGAGAGGGAGAACAGGGCCGAGAGGGAGAACAGGGCCGAGAGGGAGAACAGGGCCGAGAGGGAGAACAGGGCCGAGAGGGAGAACAGGGCCGAGAGGGAGAACAGGGCCGAGAGGGAGAACAGGGCCGAGAGGGAGAACAGGGCCGAGAGGGAGAACAGGGCCGAGAGGGAGAGAGGGAGAACAGGGCCGAGAGGGAGAGAGGGAGAACAGGGCTGAGAGGGAGAGAGGGAGAACAGGGCTGAGAGGGAGAGAGGGAGAACAGGGCTGAGAGGGAGAACAGGGCCGAGAGGGAGAACAGGGCTGAGAGGGAGAGAGGGAGAACAGGGCTGAGAGGGAGAGAGGGAGAACAGGGCCGAGAGGGAGAGAGGGAGAACAGGGCTGAGAGGGAGAACAGGGCCGAGAGGGAGAGAGGGAGAACAGGGCTGAGAGGGAGAACAGGGCCGAGAGGGAGAACAGGGCTGAGAGGGAGAGAGGGAGAACAGGGCCGAGAGGGAGAACAGGGCCGAGAGGGAGAACAGGGCCGAGAGGGAGAACAGGGCTGAGAGGGAGAACAGGGTCGAGAGGGAGAACAGGGCCGAGAGGAAGAGAGGGAGAACAGGGCTGAGAGGGAGAACAGGGCCGAGAGGGAGAACAGGGCCGAGAGGGAGAACAGGGCCGAGAGGGAGAACAGGGCCGAGAGGGAGAACAGGGCTGAGAGGGAGAACAGGGCCGAGAGGGAGAACAGGGCCGAGAGGGAGAACAGGGCCGAGAGGGAGAGAGGGAGAACAGGGCCGAGAGGGAGAACAGGGCCGAGAGGGAGAACAGGGCCGAGAGGGAGAACAGGGTCGAGAGGGAGAACAGGGCCGAGAGGGAGAACAGGGCCGAGAGGGAGAACAGGGCCGAGAGGGAGAACAGGGCCGAGAGGGAGAGAGGGAGAACAGGGCTGAGAGGGAGAGAGGGAGAACAGGGCTGAGAGGGAGAACAGGGCTGAGAGGGAGAACAGGGCCGAGAGGGAGAGAGGGAGAACAGGGCTGAGAGGGAGAGAGGGAGAACAGGGCCGAGAGGGAGAACAGGGCCGAGAGGGAGAACAGGGCCGAGAGGGAGAGAGGGAGAACAGGGCCGAGAGGGAGAACAGGGCCGAGAGGGAGAGAGGGAGAACAGGGCTGAGAGGGAGAGAGGGAGAACAGGGCCGAGAGGGAGAACAGGGCCGAGAGGGAGAACAGGGTCGAGAGGGAGAACAGGGCCGAGAGGGAGAGAGGGAGAACAGGGCCGAGAGGGAGAGAGGGAGAACAGGGCCGAGAGGGAGAACAGGGCTGAGAGGGAGAACAGGGTCGAGAGGGAGAACAGGGCCGAGAGGGAGAGAGGGAGAACAGGGCCGAGAGGGAGAGAGGGAGAACAGGGCTGAGAGGGAGAGAGGGAGAACAGGGCTGAGAGGGAGAGAGGGAGAACAGGGCTGAGAGGGAGAACAGGGCCGAGAGGGAGAACAGGGCTGAGAGGGAGAGAGGGAGAACAGGGCTGAGAGGGAGAACAGGGCCGAGAGGGAGAGAGGGAGAACAGGGCTGAGAGGGAGAACAGGGCCGAGAGGGAGAACAGGGCTGAGAGGGAGAACAGGGCCGAGAGGGAGAACAGGGCCGAGAGGGAGAACAGGGCCGAGAGGGAGAACAGGGCCGAGAGGGAGAACAGGGCCGAGAGGGAGAACAGGGCCGAGAGGGAGAACAGGGCCGAGAGGGAGAACAGGGTCGAGAGGGAGAACAGGGCCGAGAGGAAGAGAGGGAGAACAGGGCCGAGAGGGAGAGAGGGAGAACAGGGCTGAGAGGGAGAGAGGGAGAACAGGGCCGAGAGGGAGAGAGGGAGAACAGGGCCGAGAGGGAGAACAGGGCTGAGAGGGAGAACAGGGTCGAGAGGGAGAACAGGGCCGAGAGGAAGAGAGGGAGAACAGGGCCGAGAGGGAGAACAGGGCTGAGAGGGAGAGAGGGAGAACAGGGCTGAGAGGGAGAGAGGGAGAACAGGGCCGAGAGGGAGAACAGGGCCGAGAGGGAGAACAGGGCCGAGAGGGAGAGAGGGAGAACAGGGCTGAGAGGGAGAGAGGGAGAACAGGGCCGAGAGGGAGAACAGGGCCGAGAGGGAGAACAGGGCTGAGAGGGAGAACAGGGCTGAGAGGGAGAGAGGGAGAACAGGGCCGAGAGGGAGAACAGGGTCGAGAGGGAGAACAGGGCTGAGAGGGAGAGAGGGAGAACAGGGCTGAGAGGGAGAGAGGGAGAACAGGGCCGAGAGGGAGAACAGGGCTGAGAGGGAGAGAGGGAGAACAGGGCCGAGAGGGAGAGAGGGAGAACAGGGCCGAGAGGGAGAGAGGGAGAACAGGGCCGAGAGGGAGAGAGGGAGAACAGGGCTGAGAGGGAGAGAGGGAGAACAGGGCTGAGAGGGAGAGAGGGAGAACAGGGCCGAGAGGGAGAACAGGGCTGAGAGGGAGAGAGGGAGAACAGGGCCGAGAGGGAGAGAGGGAGAACAGGGCCGAGAGGGAGAACAGGGTCGAGAGGGAGAACAGGGCCGAGAGGGAGAACAGGGCTGAGAGGGAGAGAGGGAGAACAGGGCTGAGAGGGAGAGAGGGAGAACAGGGCTGAGAGGGAGAGAGGGAGAACAGGGCCGAGAGGGAGAACAGGGCTGAGAGGGAGAGAGGGAGAACAGGGCCGAGAGGGAGAGAGGGAGAACAGGGCTGAGAGGGAGAGAGGGAGAACAGGGCTGAGAGGGAGAGAGGGAGAACAGGGCCGAGAGGGAGAACAGGGCTGAGAGGGAGAGAGGGAGAACAGGGCCGAGAGGGAGAGAGGGAGAACAGGGCTGAGAGGGAGAACAGGGTCGAGAGGGAGAACAGGGCCGAGAGGGAGAACAGGGCTGAGAGGGAGAACAGGGTCGAGAGGGAGAACAGGGCCGAGAGGAAGAGAGGGAGAACAGGGCTGAGAGGGAGAACAGGGCTGAGAGGGAGAGAGGGAGAACAGGGCCGAGAGGGAGAACAGGGCCGAGAGGGAGAACAGGGCCGAGAGGGAGAACAGGGCTGAGAGGGAGAGAGGGAGAACAGGGCTGAGAGGGAGAGAGGGAGAACAGGGCCGAGAGGGAGAACAGGGTCGAGAGGGAGAACAGGGCTGAGAGGGAGAGAGGGAGAACAGGGCTGAGAGGGAGAGAGGGAGAACAGGGCCGAGAGGGAGAACAGGGCCGAGAGGGAGAGAGGGAGAACAGGGCCGAGAGGGAGAACAGGGCTGAGAGGGAGAGAGGGAGAACAGGGCCGAGAGGGAGAGAGGGAGAACAGGGCCGAGAGGGAGAGAGGGAGAACAGGGCTGAGAGGGAGAACAGGGCCGAGAGGGAGAGAGGGAGAACAGGGCTGAGAGGGAGAGAGGGAGAACAGGGCTGAGAGGGAGAGAGGGAGAACAGGGCCGAGAGGGAGAACAGGGCTGAGAGGGAGAGAGGGAGAACAGGGCCGAGAGGGAGAACAGGGCTGAGAGGGAGAGAGGGAGAACAGGGCTGAGAGGGAGAGAGGGAGAACAGGGCCGAGAGGGAGAACAGGGCTGAGAGGGAGAGAGGGAGAACAGGGCCGAGAGGGAGAGAGGGAGAACAGGGCCGAGAGGGAGGAGTGCGGCCATGAAACACTATAGAACACATTATAGACTGCTTCTTAAAGGAACAGGCCCCGTGTTTACAGACTGACACATGTTCTTACCTTAGACTGATATGTACCTGTGTGGTCTGTGTCCGTGTGCTCTGTCATGCAAACACAGCACAAACACAGCCTCTTCCACAGACTGTATAGTTCCAAATCAGCTCCCGTTATAAGCTCCCAAACTCTTCCACGTGTTCCCTTTAAATACAGTTACGTGACGTGTTACTCTACAAAGTATAGTAACACAGAAATGTAACATGTCGAGGCGTAATAATACGAGGAGCGCTTTGTCTGCGCACTAACTCCAGCAAGTCACGCTGCTTCTATTGACGGAAGTGAGCAGAGTGAAGTCTTTAGGAGTTAGTGCGCGGCGTAGTGCTCCTTGTATTATTACGCCTCACAATATAGTTCCTCTTTTTATCCGCTGAGAAAACCGACATGTTACATTTCTGTGTTACTATACTTTGTAGAGTAACACGTCACGTAACTGTGTTTAAAGGGAACACGTGGAAGAGTTTGGGAGCTTCTAACAGGAGCTGATTTGGAACTATACAGTCTGTGGAAGAGGCTGTGTTTGTGCTGTGTTTGCATGACAGAGCACACGGACACAGACCACACAGGTACATATCAACTAGTCTGAGGTAAGAACATGTGTCAATGTGTAAACACGGAGGCCTGTTCCTTTAATAAAACACTATAGAACACATTATAGACTGCTCCTTAATAAAACACTATGACAGACACTAGCAGAAACACATCCATCCAAACAAACAAAACAAATAATAGATAATTCTAAAAGTCTCTAACAGTAATAATAATAATAGCAACAGTCCTTCAGGTCACAGCAGCAGAGGTGGAGCTTGGTTCAGACCATTATCTCTGCTCTGGTCCAAAGTCAAATGCTAAATACTTCATTTTACTTTGGACCAGAGACAATGTTCTGAACCAAGCTCCACCTCTGCTGCTGTGACCTGAAGGACTGTTATCATGTAGATACTTTTAGAAGTTTATTTGTTTTGTGTGTTTGGATGGATGTGTTTCTGCTAGTATTTATCTATGTATGTATGTATCTAATTCTATCTAATTCACTTACATGCCTACTGTAAATGCTAAACTTCTTCCATTATCTTAATTCAACATGAATACTTTGCGTACTTGTCTTCTTGATGGTTCTCCTCTCCCTCACTGAGCTCCTCGTCATCCACCAGGTGTCCGAACGGCTCGGAGGAGATTGACACCATATTGGAAAGGATGAGCCGGCTGTCACTGCTGGCCGTCAACACCAACTGGTCATGGCTGTGGTTGTAGCGGACGCTCCAAACCCTGCATATATAACACACTGTCAATCCTTCACAGACTGGAAATGAGTAAAAGACAAATATTAGCAACAACAGACATGAAAAGTAGTGATTTGAGTGAGAATATGAAGTGAGAATATGAAGTTCCGGTTTGGCGAGGAGTTCCACAGGGCTCCATTCTCAGTCCACACACTTTTGTGCAATCTGAAGTTACGGTTCTTCCTTTTGGGCATATAATAAAGATAGACAACACCATAGTTATGCAAATGATATGCAAATGATTTTCTGAGGGTCGTTATTTTTTTAGAACTATCAATTTTATATCTTATTTTTGCTGCTACTGGAATTTCTCCATCGAGGGATCTATAAAGTATCTATCTATCCTGGTTTCTGATCTAAGTCCAATATTTCAGCTAATACCTGCTGAAATACTTGTACATGCATTTATTTTCATGTTGTACAATATAACTGTGTAAACAATAAATCCAGTTTACAAAGTAACACTTAGGATCCTACATTTGTCTTTAACGTCTCCAGCATCTTATCCATTTCTTATATTGCACTCCTTCAAAACCACAATTTCATCATCTTTTCAATGCTGCAAAACACATTTCTGTACAATATTAAATGTAAGTAACATTTACAGCACAGAATGGACTGCGGACTGGTTTGGCAGCTCATTCCCACATCCATAGAGGCTGGAGGCAGACCACCCAGGCTGAAACATACACAGAGCGATGCAGAGAAAGCCTATCTCCCGTTCACACACTCATGCCCACACAAGTCATGCAGAAAATGCCGCCTTCTTACAGTGGAATTCACAGCCAAATATGCCTATCTGGGTCTGTGTTCCCGTGCCAATGATGGGGATTTGGGAGCGTGCAGACTACGCCGAGGTTCAGTTCACATGAGTTGGTGATTCTTATCCTAAAACCCCAGTGGTCTCCTCACGCTGCCCTCGTCCTGCCTTTTTCAAACAGGATTTTCACATCGTCTGATCACCAGCGGAGTGTTTGTTGTGCTTTGTGTTTGGAGGGTTTTACCCGGTATTGTTTTATAAGTGTAGATTGTTAAGTTTATGTTTTTGTGAGAAGCAACATCAGCACAAGATTATGAATGACATTAAATAGACATTAAAACAACACCTTTAACAAACCAATGTGTTAATTGTGTATTTTTCCCAAGACTTTCTTCTCAATCAAGAAGAGAACTTGAAGCTTGGAGTTAACGGATTGATAAAGAAGTATAATCATCTTATATCATCTTAGGCCCTGTTTCCACGGAGACGCTGCGACAGTAAAAACTACAATAAGGTGCACAATAATATTAAATAAAATATAAAGATAAGATATACATTATTTGCGCCTGAATGTGATCCAAACGACAGTATCATTTGTCTCTTAAACACTTCCCCCAGTGTTAGAATACATAGTTTGGTGCAACACTGAGACTGTGCTGATCCAACAACACAAAACGAGAGGAACAAAGAATCTTGCCCAAGGACATGAGATTTGACCGACCAACTTTCTAACTTTCTAGACAATCGTTTTTCACAATTAATTGAGATCGACCAATATTGGATTCTACGGCAATCAATCACTGAAATGGGCCAGGCTTCAAATCCTGAACTGTTTAACATTTTTCATTAACCTGCACCTCTCTCCCCGCTCCTCGTCCCTTCATCGGACTGTCAATACTGCCTCCACTCTCGCTCTGTCTGTGAAAGCCTCTGTCTCCATTTCTCTGGGAGCCCGGGGCACAGCTCACAGTGCGGCCCTGGACGCCTCATGGGGGAGAAGGCTGAGGGATAACCGAGCCTGTTGACAGAAAATCAGCCTCGGCCACGCCATTCCCCTGCGCGCTCTTAATCCGCTTCCCGTTAAAAAAAAAGAAAAAACTGTCCCTAATACCCCTAGCAGCCCCGAGGCCAGTTTCTGGGCTGCGCTCCGAAAAATGAGAGCACATAAATACATGTACGCAGAGGGAAACACCCACACACATGTGACGCTGCGGAGATAAGTCCATAACATGGTATGCAAACGCCTCACGACTCTGCAGAAGATAAAGAGGAGACCTTCACCAAAGCAGATTAGCTGACAGTATATACGGCACACACAACGCCTCTTATCGGAATAGATCCATCTGCAGCTGCCATCTACAGTTATGGATATGTTGTGCCTATTCCAGCGTCCTTTTGGAGATAAGCTGTGAAAGTATGTGCGTCTGTGCCACTGTTATCAGGTGCGGCGTGCGGCAGGCGGACAGGCAGGAGTGCAGGCCGGTGTAGACATGCTGATCATCCATTCAGCTCACACAAAGACAGGGAGTGAGCGAGGGACCTCCGTGCACACAGCCGGGGCTCATGCGGTACATTGTGTTCAGCTGCAAGCGCTGCCTGGAGCCTCGCAGAAAGGATCCCAGCATGGGCCCCGAGAGAGCCCGGTCTACTCTGGTCTACTCTGGTCTGGTCCAATCTCTCACAACAGGAGCCTGACTGAGGCAGAAGTGGAATGTACTGCCTTTTATTAATAATAATAATAATAATGCATCGGTTTTATTCAGCGCTTTCTGGACTCTCAAAGTCTCTTCACATCATTATTCGTTCACTCCAAACACAGTGGTGATAAACTACTGTAGCCACAGCTGCCCTGGGGCACACTGAGGCAACCCGTCTGTGCCATGGGCCCCTCCCACCACCACCAACCATTCACACACACACCAGGCTCATTCTAATGTGGGGGAACTTTGCAGCCGCAGCCGCTCGACTGAGGCACCAGGTGTTCCCAGAGGTTAAGTGTCTTGCCCAAGGACACAGTGGCCTCGAACCCACGACCTTCAGGCTCAAAGGCCAATGCTCTACACACTGAGCCCCAAGGTGTTATGAAGGTTGATATGCGTTAGTATTAAAACATCTTCCTGTAAATGTGAGACAGTTCTGTTTCTAAACTGAAGGAATTCATATTTTTATCTTTTAATGCGATCATTTATGATTCTCTTGTTTTGTTCAGAGTTTCCGTGTGTGTGAATTGTGCGACACTAATAAACTTTGCCTTACGTTCATAAACCAATCAACAGGAGAGTTTGATCTGTATCATTTCTAAATCTCTGAAGACGATGAGTTTGTGGGAAACATATTTCTGACATTTGAGATATTTGACCAGATTTCTGAACTGAATGCAAATTATTGATTTTGGATAATTTAACTTTTGAGTCTAAAGAATCAGCTCAAAGAGATCCAAGATTTGCTGAGTTCTGTTGAATTCATGAAATACATTTATAAAATCTGCTTCTGTGGAATGTACAGAAACACAGGTTTATGCAGAAGAAACACACAGAGTCTAATGAGGACCAGAATTAACTAAATTAATAAACACGACTCAATCCCAGAGTGATTCTGGAACATTCACATCACACTGGAATGTTTATCTATATAGCACGTCTTTACAGACCAAGGCACAGACCAAAGCACTTTACAAAGTTCAGATATAGTTCCATTCTCTCCACACGGTGATGACAGAGAGAGGCCTGAACACACTGCTCCATCAAAGCCTTCCTCCAGGTGCTCCGGTTTCCTCTACCACTAAAAACATGCACAACAGTTCAGGGTGAATGAGTGTGAGTGCGACTGTGGGACAACGGATGGAAATTAGCCCAAGGTACAATTCTGACACAACTAAAAACAAAAGTCAGGATGTACAAATACGACTGGATTCCAAAGGTTCAGAGCTTTATAAGGAGGTACAGCAGGATTATATTGGTGGAGCTGAAGTTGGTTGGATGACACTGCTAAAGTACCTCAACGTCTGTTTTGTGTTAGCGACACAGGACCACATAAAAACACACAGCGGGCCGCATTTGGCTCGCGGGCCGCAGTTTGGTCATACCTAAAATAAAAAATAAAAATATATAAATAGTCTGGGGTGTTCCTAAATCACACTGGGAGTTATTGATGAGAGAAAACAGATTTAAAAAGAGGAGGCAGGAGTGGCAGAGTGTATATCAGACATGAGTGGCCCTGTGTGGCTCAGTTCAAGGCCGTGCTGTGCCAGACTCCGGCCTCGTCTGTCACTGACCTGTATGTGTCCTTTAGCCCCTGACTCACCAGTGGGAGTGCTCCTCCAGGGTCTTGACCGGCTCCTGGACGTTACGAACGTCCCAGAACTTGACCTTGCAGTCGTCGCCACAGCTGGCCAGATAATACTGACGATTGGGATTGAAGTCCAGGTCACGAACCAGCTGTCCATGGGCGTTCTCGATACAGTAGATCTGACTGGGGGAGACAAAAGACCGGGTTAGGGGCAATGAAGACAAGACGGATGAGTGCGGACAGGGAAATTGGGATGGAGGGATAAGACGGAGAGGTTGCAGCCGGGTGGGAAGGCGATAAGAATATGACAGGACAAGAAAAGGAGATATGAGGCAGGTGTAGGGCATGATTCACCGGGTCCACACCGGCCAGAACATTCCCAGGCTAAATCAAAGTGCTCTCTGTCGGGGTGTGTCAGAGAAGGCCAGCCGCAATAAAGAAACCAAGCCTGGTGCTGGTAAATTATAAAGACAGGCCTCGTAACCACACGCAGCCTTGGGTTTCTGTGTGAGCGATGTTAACTGACGTGAGAGAGACACGGCGCTGTCTGAGCCCGTCCACTCTCTGCTTCACACACGGCCATAACGACCAGCTCTATGCAGTTCAGTGAAAGGACTGGGGGACTATCAAGTGTCCAAGAAGCCTTTGGAGAAGACACATGGTCACTGCACCATTGATGGTTTGTTGGGTCTGTGACTGTGGGGTTTGGTGAGCAAGCAAAGAAAGGAGACTAGAGAGAGACCAGAGAGAGGCTAGAGAGAGACCAGAGAGAGACTAGAGGGAGGCTAGACGGAGACTAAAGAGAGACTAGAGAGAGACCAGAGAGAGACTAGAGGGAGGCTAGAAAGACCAGAGAGAGACTAGAGAGAACAGAGAGAGACCAGATAGAGACTAGAGGGAGACTAGAGAGAGACCAGAGAGAGACCAGAGAGAGACTAGAGAGAACAGAGAGAGACCAGATAGAGACTAGAGGGAGACTAGAGAGAGACCAGAGAGAGAGACTAGAGGGAGGCTAGAAAGACCAGAGAGAGACTAGAGAGAGACCAGAGAGAGACTAGAGAGAGACCAGAGAGAGACTAGAGGGAGGCTAGAAAGACCAGAGAGAGACTAGAGAGAACAGAGAGAGACCAGAGAGAGAGACCAGAGAGAGACTAGAGAGAGACCAGAGAGAGACTAGAGGGAGACTAGAGGGAGAACAGAGAGAGACCAGAGAGAGAGACCAGAGAGAGATTAGAGACTGGCTGAGATACAGGACATCTCGTACTTGTCTGCTGCAAACTGGAGACTTTTCCAAAGTGGTTTTACTGCGAGTGACAAATGACATGAATGGTTGTTTATCTTAAACGTTTCACTTCGATTGAGGAGTTAAACAACAAGTTTTTTAAAGTTAATGTTAATGTAATCAGGGATTATGCATGTTATATCAGGGACAAGTAAAAAACACAGAGTAGCAGCAGCAGTAGTTCATCAATCAGGGTCACAGAATGGAAAGTGATTTGGATAAACTAATTAAATCTACAGCGTTGCCGTGGCGATAAACGCAACATAAAACCACAGTGGGTTTGTTTTGCTCATTTCCTCTGCAGGCTAGCCCGGCTTAGCCCCGTTTGGCTCGGCTTGGTTCAGCAGAGGGGAACGCCTCAGTGTTGCGGCCCAGCTGGAAGCCAACAGCAGAAAAAGAAGTGCTCTAGCTGCAGTCGCCCCCACTGATCACGTTAGGCAATTAACATGCTAATTAAAAATCTCATTAAAAAAAGGGGAAGTGTAGGAGAATGACCTGGGGCACACCGCTGGGCTTCAATTAGGTCAAGACAATCTCAGGAGGCTTTGGTTTCAGTCTGGAGCTTCACGTGGTCAATGTTTCTGTTCTGCTTCAAACTGCCCTCGCTTCTCGCTTTGCCACTTTTCTGCTGAACAAACTATCACCTGTTAGTTTCCATGGAGATGGGTTCACTGTTCTTTGAAATTAGCTTCATTAAGAATAACATTTGCATTTAAACTTGTCAAGACAGTAGCGATCTGAAGTGAGTAAGTAATGATTCTTTATATAGCGCTGTGAGATTTCATAACACTTTTAAGCAACTTTTGTTAAAGTTAAACTCATCATTCTATCAATGTGCAGAAGCCTGTACTTTTCCCTTGTTGTGTCTATCTGAAGGCCAAGCTACATGGCACCGTGGAAGCTGCTGATTGGAGGTCTCCATGCCAACGCTCTGTATAATACACTTGCATTCTGTTGTTCGTGTTGTTCGTGCTGTCTCTACCATCGACAATAAAACATGTCTTCTGTCGGAATTAAAGACGCGATCCCAGACTATGTCATCTTCTTCAGCGCCTTTCACAGTCAAGAGTCACAAAGAGCTTTTGTCTCTGACTCGACACAGAGATGGAGCAGGTCACCTACAGGGGGCGCTGCCAGATCTATTATGCATGTTTTTAGTGGTAGGGGAAACCGGAGCACCCGGAGGAAACCTATGCAGACACGGGGAGAACATGCAAACTCCACTCAGAAAAAGCCCTGTTCCGACCGGGATTCGATAACCACTCAGCCACCGAGCCAGTACTGCCCTGAAGTGTAAGGTTCCCACTTTTAAACTAGAATTCAAACTTAGATAAATATATTTGATTAAAAATCAGGTAGGTCAAAAAAGACATTTATAATATTTGTGGCAAAATGTGGTTGAAGCTTTTTCATAAAGTATAAAATAGTTACAATGTGACTCTCCAGAACAGATTCAATGCATGCGGTTTACTTCGTACTCACATTGGGCCTCATGTATGGAACTGGCGTACGGCCAAATCAGGGTAAATGAGGCGTACGCAAAAAATGTACACTTTTCGGCATTTATCAATCTGGACGTGAGCTGTCGTAAAAACGGGGAGTGTTTTGAATATTTCTAGGCGTGACTTTCATAAATACGCATGTTTTCACCGCAGCATTTATCAACAGCCGCGGCTGCGTACAGATATGTGCGTATCTCACACGTTCATAAAGCCCGCGTTCAGTCTGCCGTAAACAGAATATACAAAAAAAATATACACCCTTTTCTGCGCAACTTTGATAAATGAGGAAATACAAACCCTCCCTAAACAGAGGAGGATTAGGATTAGTTTTGCCTTGTATCTTTGACGATCGTTAGACCTGCACTCAACCGAGCTCTCATCAGACAAAAGGTCAGTGACATGCTAATGAGGAAGGATCGTTAGACCTGCACTCAACCGAGCTCTCATCAGACAAAAGGTCAGTGACATGCTAATGAGGAAGGATCGTTAGACCTGCACTCAACCGAGCTCTCATCAGACAAAAGGTCAGTGACATGCTAATGAGGAAGGATCGTTAGACCTAACAGGATCATTGAACCTAACAGAATAGCATACAGATGATGCTAACTGAAGCACAGATGATGCTAACTGAAGTACAGATGATGCTAACTGAAGTACAGATGATGCTAACTGAAGTACAGATGATGCTAACTGAAGTACAGATGATGCTAACTGAAGTACAGATGATGCTAACTGAAGCACAGATGATGCTAACTGAAGCACAGATGATGCTAACTGAAGTACAGATGATGCTAACTGAAGCACAGATGATGCTAACTGAAGTACAGATGATGCTAACTGAAGCACAGATGATGCTAACTGAAGCACAGATGATGCTAACTGAAGTACAGATGATGCTAACTGAAGTACAGATGATGCTAACTGAAGTACAGATGATGCTAACTGAAGTACAGATGATGCTAACTGAAGCACAGATGATGCTAACTGAAGCACAGATGATGCTAACTGAAGCACAGATGATGCTAACTGAAGCACAGATGATGCTAACTGAAGTACAGATGATGCTAACTGAAGTACAGATGATGATGCTAACTGAAGTACAGATGATGCTAACTGAAGTACAGATGATGCTAACTGAAGTACAGATGATGCTAACTGAAGCACAGATGATGCTAACTGAAGTATAGATGATGCTAACTGAAGCACAGATGATGCTAACTGAAGTACAGATGATGCTAACTGAAGTACAGATGATGCTAACTGAAGTACAGATGATGCTAACTGAAGCACAGATGATGCTAACTGAAGCACAGATGATGCTAACTGAAGCACAGATGATGCTAACTGAAGTACAGAGGATGCTAACTGAAGTACAGATGATGCTAACTGAAGTACAGATGATGCTAACTGAAGTACAGATGATGCTAACTGAAGTATAGATGATGCTAACTGAAGCACAGATGATGCTAACTGAAGTACAGATGATGCTAACTGAAGTACAGATGATGCTAACTGAAGTACAGATGATGCTAACTGAAGCACAGATGATGCTAACTGAAGCACAGATGATGCTAACTGAAGCACAGATGATGCTAACTGAAGTACAGATGATGCTAACTGAAGTACAGATGATGCTAACTGAAGTACAGATGATGCTAACTGAAGTACAGATGATGCTAACTGAAGTACAGATGATGCTAACTGAAGCACAGATGATGCTAACTGAAGCACAGATGATGCTAACTGAAGTACAGATGATGCTAACTGAAGCACAGATGATGCTAACTGAAGCACAGATGATGCTAACTGAAGTACAGATGATGCTAACTGAAGCACAGATGATGCTAACTGAAGTACAGATGATGCTAACTGAAGTACAGATGATGCTAACTTAAGCACAGATGATGCTAACTGAAGTACAGATGATGCAACTGAAGTACAGATGATGCTAACTGAAGCACAGATGATGCTAACTGAAGCACAGATGATGCTAACTGAAGTACAGATGATGGCTAACTGAAGCACAGATGATGCTAACTGAAGCACAGATGATGCTAACTGAAGTACAGATGATGCTAACTTAAGCACAGATGATGCTAACTGAAGCACAGATGATGCTAACTGAAGTACAGATGATGCTAACTGAAGTACAGATGATGCTAACTGAAGTACAGATGATGCTAACTGAAGTACAGATGATGCTAACTGAAGTACAGATGATGCTAACTGAAGCACAGATGATGCTAACTGAAGTACAGATGATGCTAACTGAAGCACAGATGATGCTAACTGAAGTACAGATGATGCTAACTGAAGTACAGATGATGCTAACTGAAGTACAGATGATGCTAACTGAAGTACAGATGATGCTAACTGAAGTACAGATGATGCTAACTGAAGCACAGATGATGCTAACTGAAGCACAGATGATGCCTAACTGAAGTACAGATGATGCTAACTGAAGTACAGATGATGCTAACTGAAGCACAGATGATGCTAACTGAAGTACAGATGATGCTAACTGAAGCACAGATGATGCTAACTGAAGCACAGATGATGCTAA